CTGCTCTCCCTTAGAAGCCAGTGAGGCTTGTTTCAGCTGTCAGATGTGGGGTCACTGAGAGATGGAGTGAAGTCACCTTATGTTATGTTCCTGTTCTGTTTTGATAAGTGGGTACATTCGGGATAATCTGATCTCTGCTTCTCTGACGTTCTCTGATGAAGTCTTTAGATTTTGATGGGAGTATCTTATCCATTTCTCAGTCAATATCCTTTCATTGCATTGCACTTTCATTGCACTATCTTTATTTTGATTACTTGACCTGAAAATTACTTCCTTTTCAATTATCTAGATGTGTTTAGGGCTGCCTTCCTCAATATAGTTGATTAGGTGTTGTGAAAGAGATGCAATCTTGTGGCCTCAGAGTTATTATGTAGTCTTGTGGTTATTATGCCTGAATTGGAAGTCCTTTCTCAATCAGGCAATATTAGCTAATTCTGTTCTGCTAATTCTGTTCAGTCTAATTATAGACTGGCTCTTGGTGAAAGAATTTGGGACATGAAAAGCAAATGCTTTTTACTAAGTAGAATATGATGACTAGTCTTTGTGGTATCTTCTCCCTCCCTTTGTATCTGCTTCTCTCACTCCCTCTGTCTTTATTCTTGATTTTTTTTTAAGTACTGTTGTAATTCATTCCAAAGGTGTCAGTCAAACGTTGGCTTCCAACCACCTGTATCAAAGAGTATCCTGTTACTCTACATGGATTAATTTATTAGAAGTGTTAGTATGGGTCATACTTTGGTTTGGTAATTATCAACAGTAATACAGCATGAACTGAGAAATGATCAAAAGTTTGTATCATAAGACTGGGCCTAAAGTACTTGTTCTGCATAAATCTCATTTCAGATATTTGAATTGAGTTTTTTCATCAATATACCAGTGCTGATTACTTTAAAACTTTTGTTAATGTCTCATTTTTCTTGGACACACCTATGTTTGTTAATTACATGGTCCTTGTGTACATATTTATTCAACAAATAACTTCAATACCAGTTAGTTATGTCTAGTTCTGTTAATGTCACAAGATCTGTGTGTGTTTAACAATGTTGGCAGGGAGTTGTGAGTGGGGTTAACCTGGGTGATGCAGAGCTGAGTGGAACATGTTCCTGATAACCTTTGGAAGGCACCTTCATTTTTGGCAGGCCAAAATTCCAGGTTGGCAATAGTGAATTGATAAATTGCTTCTTAACATTTCATTAAGTGTGACTGTGTCTTCCTTTGCTTAGAAGATATGGCTCTTGGTGTGTGAGTTTATGCATTGTTGAGTCTTCTGATGAAAGCAAATTATGTTGATACAGAATTAGGAATAAACTCAGATTGTTCAGTCTTGCAAAATGTTTTGCAGTAGCACTGGGCTGGCCATCAGAAAGAATGATTCAGGTTGTGCTTTGTTCTTGTTGAACTCCTGCTTGAGCTCTATGGCGAGGTTTCCTCATTTATGGGGAGAGTACTTTGGAATATCATATTTTTGTTGTTTCTTTTTGTTTTAAGCATTCTGTAGCTTTATTTTAAAGTGAGAATACTTTTGCCAAGTCTTTTCTTCCCAGTGATAATTTTGAATTTGACATTTTGAAAAAGCTATGATTGATCAAATTTAGTTTGACCTCTTTGAAGTTTGTAAAATTTGTCTATTCTTGAAATGAAAATTTTAAGCTATATGTGACTATTTGGTTATTCCTGATTTTTCTTTTGGTAACTGGACAGAGTAGGATGTTGCACTCTTGTATAATTGCCATTGGTGACTATGAAGTAAATGATGTGGGCATTGATTGATTTCATGTTAGCATACTGTTATCAAGGAATGCCATTAAGAAAGATGAAGGGGTATTTTAGAAATCATTAATCCACTCCCTCATCTTGTAGATAGGGAATATACCCCCAAAATTTGCTAATTTATGGACCTAGTGTGTATCAAAAAAAGAACACTTGATTATAATCTCATCCATTCATTTAAAAAAAAATATGTATGTGAACCTGATAAGTATGTTCCTTTTTAAAGACCAGGTTTTAAATACATTTAAAGCAGTCTCTTTAATGATGTAAATAATACTCTGATGAAGAATGAAATACTTGTCTCTCCAAATATATTTGGTCTTCTAATCCTATCCTTTTCTATCTCTTTTTTTTTACTTCCTTATTTATTTGGTTTACATTATAATAAAAGGCACCACTTGAGATTAAAGATGTTCAATGGTAAATACAATTTTACTCTCCTAAATTGAAGTTATTGCACTCAAAGAGATACTGAAACCTCTCCATTGTGTTTTTTCCTTACCATCTCATGTATATTAGTGTAGGAAAATACTATCATTATTTTCCCAATAGACTAGAGGAAGACAGGCTCTAAGCAGTGATGGATGCCATGAATAAAAATAAAGCATGATCAGTGGTCAGCGATGAGTTATGTGCTGTTATCAGTCTGTCCATGCATCCATCATCCACCCACCCACCCACCAACCCATCCAATCTATTCATCATCTGTCCATCCATCCATCCAACCATCCATCCATTCATCATCTGTCCATCCATCCATCCATCCATCCACAGGGAAGGACTGTGCATTATTGAGCAATGGTCCTGGAACAATATTTAGAAGTAATGGGTGTTTTATTATCTGGAGCAACATGATAACATGTGTTTATCACATCTGTGTGTAGTCATTAGGGGAAGGTAAAGGGGCCTTAGGATGGCTCAGAAAGTAGAGGCAAATCCAAATACACCAGTATCTAGTGTCAGACATTTCCCATATTGATGAAGCAGCTACTTTTTGCCCCCCTCTCCTCCAGCACCTCTCAACTGTTCATGTACTTTTTGTCTCTAGATTTACCTCTATGGAGCCTGTCATATAAACTGGATCAGGCCCTATGTGGCCTTCGTGTCTGGCTTCTTTCACTTGTTTATTGCTTCAAGCTTCATGCATGTTGTGGCTTAGATCAACATTTCATGACTATCATGGATGAATAATATCCACTGGGTGGATGCTGCTGCCTTTTGTTTGCCCATTCGTTATGAACATTTGTTTCTGCTTTTGACTATTGATAGTGCTGGTGTTATTGACGTGCTTTAGCAGCACATATACAGAGAATGGGTACAATGCACAGGTTAGCATGACTCCCACAGGATGATGGCACACAGGTTTATGAAGTGTTCCATATTTAAAAAAAAAAACCTTGATATATTCACATAAAAACTTGTATATATATTTGTTTCTACTGAATGCTCGTGAGTATAAACTAGGAGTGAAATATCTGGATCATTTGGTAACTCTGATTAAGTTTTTGAGGACTGTCTGTTTTGCACAGTGGGACACCACTTTACATTCCACATCAGGAGTACCTGAGGGTTTCTGTTTCTCCATTATCTTTGCCAATGCTTACTACTTTCTGCGTATATTAAAGTCATCCCAGTGCACATGAGTGATCTTGACTTGACTTGAATTTTCATAATGTCTAGTTATGTTGAGCATTTGTGCATCTTTGGAGAAATGTCTATTCTAATTTCCATTAAAAAAATTGGGTTGTGTATCTTTTTTTCTTTACATTCTGACTAATAGGTCCTTATAGGAAATAATGATGCCTTATTACTTTCTTGACAGCATCCTTGTTGAACAAAATTTTTAAATTTGTTGAAGCCCAATTTTTGTATTTTTTTTTTTAAAGATTTATTTATTTGTACATACAGAACTGGGGTACAGGCCAGAAGCTCAGGGGCGGCGAGAGGCTTCACCAGAGACAGAGTGGGGAACAGAACAGGCAGATCGATGAAGTACACTGCTGAGGGGAGCAGCGGGCGGGTCAGGAGAGGTCTGCCACGCCATGTGGTCACCTCCAGGGCAGGCGGGAATCGAACTCATGCGGAAGCGGTTTTAGATTCTCAGTGCTGTGCTTTAACCCGCTGCGCCACCAGGGAGGGCCAATTTTTGTATTTTTTTACATTGTTAGTTATAGTGTCATGTTTTCAGAAGCTGGTACCCAATCCAAGGTTACAAAGAGCTGCATCTGCTTTTCTCTCAAGAGTTTCAGTTTGAGCTTTCATATTCAGGCATTTGATGCATTTAGAGTTGATTTTTCTGTGTCATGTAAGATAAGGCTCCAGAGTTATTCTTTTGCATGTCGCTCCTCTTGTCCTACCACCATTTGTTGATGACCATTTGTTCTTTTGCTATTGAGTTGAGTGCCTTGTCACTGTTGTCAAATGTTATTTGGTTATACATACATGGATTTGTTTTTGGGCTGTCATTTCTATTTTCAGTTGAACAAAATATATGCCCCTCTGCCAATACCACACTGTTTTGATTACAGCAGCTTTGTCTACTAAGTTTTGAAATTTGTAAGTATATGAATTCCAGTTCTCTGATGAAAACCTGTATCCTGTCCATTTTCCCCTACCTCTATTTTTTTGAACATCTTGATCACACATTTTAAACTCGTTGAAAATGAATATTCTTATGATACGTGGATATTTTTCTCATTTTCTTAGTTTTAAAAATCTGTTATCTCTGATACTTTTGTATCAAAAGCCAATCATTGTGTCTGGAAATTGGAAAGGGTTTGAATTCTCCAAAGACAATTCATCTGTTCTTTACAAGATGGTAGTTCTTTACCATGATGGTGGTTGTTCAGCATGTCTCAAACTTTATTATGTAGTACATAGTACATATGTATTACAGGAGAAGTAATACAGAACAAGAGGTCCAGGCTGGTAGAATAAAAAAGCAGGGCTTCAGTGTCTTAATCTAGGTTCACGACAGCCAAGTGCCCTGAGGGATATACCCCCCCACCTCAGTATGATTTCCTTTCCATTTCTTTTTGACACAACCATCCTAGTGCTTTTTAAACAGAACATTAAAAAAAAAATTAGCTTTTCTCTTTGGTTTTAGCTGCAAGATCAGTGTGCCACAAACCACGAAATTATTCACTGGTACACAAGTCAATGACTTTATTATTCTGTAAACAAAAGCACAGATCATGATTTAGCTTTTTTTTTTTTTTTCTTTCTTTCAGGAAAAACATAAACAAGAATTGGAAGATATGAGGAAAGCTGGTCACGAAGCCCTCAGTATTATTGTGGATGAATATAAGGTAGTTTTGACAGTCTGTTTCCTTTATTCATCTACATTTTGGTAAACTTTAGGTATAGACAAAAGTAGACCCTGCAAACATGTGTAAAGTAGCACTGCGGTGCTGATTTTGGTGATAGAATTCTTTCAGGTGGCTAGTAGTAGTGGTAGGCGTTTACTGAAATTATACTTAGCAGGTCAAAAGGGTGTTGTTAGATGGAGCTGTGTTTGAGAAGTTACTATATGCTATTAGTGAATGAATTGCTAGCTACTATAGAATTAATTGCTAACTTAGCTTTTTTGGGCTCTATTGTGGTTCCACCTTTTCTATTAAGAAAAAAAAATTGAGCATGATAGGAATCTGAAAGATAACTTGTTATGCTTTATTTTCCTCAAATTAAACAGATCAGGATACACATAGTATTATTCATCTGATTCTGTACCTCCTTAATCAAGCTTAATTATTTATAGCATATTGAGCATTTAATGACAAAATCTTTTTTTTCTTTAAATTCATATTAAAGCATTCCCCCACAAAACTAGTAGAGCAATACATTCTTATTTATATGGAAGGCAAACAATTCTCCTCAGAAGTAACAGCTGTTAGTATTTTGGTATGCATCCTTTGGGAGG